CAGTTTTACACATATTATATTTATTCCTAAGAACTTTCTAGTTTTGGTGCTATTGTAAGTTGTATTTTTAATTTCAAATTCCAATTGCTTATTGCTAGTCTGTAGGAGTTTTTATATTTTGACCATTTATTCTGTCTTTCCTATACTCACTTACTAGTTCTAATGGCTTTGTATATTCCTTTGCTTATCTACATAGATGATCACGTCACCTGGAAATAAGGCCTGTTTTTGTTCTTTCTTATTGAATTAGTTAGGGCCACTGGTAAGTACAATGTTGAATAGAAATGGTGAAAGGGAACATCCTTGCCTCATTGTTGATCTTAGAAGAGAAAGTGTTTGACTGGACACAGTGACTCATGCCTATAATGCTAGCACTTTGGGAGGTGGAGGCGAGAGGATTGCCTGAGCCCAGGGGGTTTGAGACCAACCTGGGCAACTTATTGAGACCTCATCTCTAAAATGAATGAATGAATGAATAAAAAAATATATATATATATAAATTAACCTGACATGGTGACGCATGCCTGTGGTCCCAGCTCTTGGAAGGCTGAGGCAGAAGGTTTATCTGAGCCCAGCAGGTTGAGGCTGTGGTGGCCGTGAGTGTGCCCCATTGCACTCCAGTCTGGGTGACAGAGTGAGACTCCTACTAAAAAAAATTTTTTTTTAAAATGAAACAGGTAAATATCTTGACAGGCAAAAACTATCAAAGTTCACTGAAGAAAAGGCAACCTCAATAGCCCTGTCTATCTTTATTTTAAAATTTTCAATTCATAGTTAAAAACAAAACTCAGCCCAGATGGCTTCAGTGTAAATTCTACAAAATACTTAAGGAAGGCATAATGCCAATTCTACACAAACTCCTGAAAAACACATTTTATGAGGCCATCATTATCCTGATACCAACATCAGATTAAGTCTTAAAGCTACAGCCCCAAATGACTAATGATCATATTTTTTAAACCCTCAACAAAATATTAGCAAATCAAGGCCAACTATATACAAAAAGGATAATACATAATGACCAAGTAGCGCTTATCCCAGGAATGCAAAGTTGGCTTAATGTTTAAAGATCAATCTATGTATGTACTTTGCTGTACTGACCAAAACCATACAAACATATGATCCCTCAACAGAGACATTCAAAACCCATAAAAAATATCAACTTCTATCAAACTAGAAACAGAAGGGACTTGAATACTTTTTTTGTTGTTGTTGAGTCAGAGTCTCAAAATTGCCCGGCAATATTCTTTTATGTGCTTATAGGATCTGTTGTGATGTTCTTCTTTCATTATTCGTATTGGTAATTATGTCTTATTTCTAATTGGTCTGGCTAGAGATTTATCAATTTTGTTAATCATTGTAAAATTTCCAGTTTCCAGTTTCATTGATTTCGCTTTATTTTTTAGTTTGGAGATATTTCTATCTTTCTATAATAGATTCTGATATAATTTCTTTATTTTCTGAGAACAAATTTTGTATGATTTTAATTATTTTAGATTTGTTAATTTTTGTTTTATGATACAGGATATGACCTATCTTGGGGAATATTCTGTGTGCCCTTGAAAAGAATGTATATTTTGCTGTTGTTGGGTAGATATTTCTGTAAATGTTAATTAGATTCAATTGGTTAATGGCTTATTTCAGTTCTTTTATATGCTTGCTGATTTTCTGTCTTAATAGAACGTAGTTGAAGCCGGGCTTGGTGGCTCAGCCTGTAATCCTGCGCCTTTGGGAGGCTGAGGTGAGTGGATTGCCTGAGCCCACAGGTTTGAGACCCGCCTGGGCAGGCGAGACCTGATCTCTACAATAAAATCAAAAAATTAGCCAGGCATGGTAGCGCGCGCTGTAATTCTGGCTACTCGGAAGGCTGAAGCAGAAGAATCACCGGAGCCCAGCAGGTTGAGGCTGCGGTGGCTGGGAGCGGCCACTGCACTCCAGTCTGGGCAACAGAGTGAGACTCGAACTCAAAAAAAAAAAAAAAGAAAGTGGTTGAAGCCTCCAACTATAATTTTGAATTTATTTCATCCATCAGTTGTCAGTTTTGTTTCATGTATTCTGAAGCACTGTTGGTTGCATACATATTTATAATTGGTGTGTCTTAGTGAATTGACCCTTTTATCAGTATGTAATAAGTAATTTTCCTCTTTGCTCTGAGGACTATTTTGGTTAGTACTAATATAATCACTCAAACTTTTGTTTGGTTAGTGCTTACATGGATTCTTTTTCAATTATTTTATTTTACCCTACTTAGTATTATATATATATATATATGAAGTGAATTTCTTATTGGTTATTTTTCCCCTCCTTCTGACAGTCTCTGTCTTTTGATTGGTGTTTGTAAACCATTTGTATTTCATATAATTATTAATATTTTGGGTTAGGCCTATCATTTTTGCATTTTGTTTGTTCCACCTGTTCTCCATTCCTCAAGGTTTTTTTCCTGCCTTCTGTTAGGTTATTTGTACATTTTAAAATACTCCGTTTTAATTTACCTGTGATTTTGATTATTCTTTGTATAGTTTGCATAGTAGGGGTGCTTTAGTGATTACAATATATACTTTGGATCCAGAAGCTAACTGTAAATTAAATGCTTAAAATTTGTTGATTGAAGTGATATTTTGGGGACCTAATTGTAGTTTTTATTACTTCAGTCCTGAAATTTTTCAGAGGTTGTATGTGTATGGTTTTTTTATTTTATTGAGACAGGGTCTTGCTCTGTCAACTGTACTGGAGTGCAGTGGCATGAACATAGTTTACTGTAAACTCAGACTCCTGAGCTCAAGTAATCTAGCCTTAGCTTCATGAGTAGCTAGTACTACAGGCATGTGTCACTATTCCCGGCTAATTCCTATCTTTGTGGAGATAGTGCTTTGTTGCCAGCTGGGCCTCAAGTGGTCCTCCTGCCTCAGCCCCCCAAAACATTGGGATTATAGGCATAACCATCACAGGTTTTGTTTTTTGTTTTATATCACTCATAATATTAACTCTGTAAGCTTTACCCGTTGCTAGCTTTGTGAAACATGTTATATTTAAATGATTTATTTTTTAATAGTTGAAACTGTTCTTTGGCCCTAAGTTAAACTCTACCTCTTAGGTGTCATGTCAAAAAAGTTTCTTATCTTCAAGTTTGTTTCTTCCTCTATAAAATGAAACGTTTGAACTATTTGAAATTTGACAGGTTTTTTTGGTGTGTTGTAATATATTTTGATTTGGCTATATTGAGATTAATATGGTTTTGATAATTTTTAAATTAGCTCAGTTTATTTGATGGATTTTTGGTTTTGTTTCTATCAAAACCAATTTTAAGGCACCAGTAGAACAATTTGAAGAGCATAGCAGATTTTACTAATACTTTGTTCAAGCTGCTTGAGTTTTAATAATTCACAGATACTAGAAATGACAGCTTACTTAGACCTGTGATATTCATTTATGGTAGGAAGCCAGACATGGTGGCTCACGCCTGTAATCCGAGCACTTTGGGAGGTGGAGGCTAGAGGATTGCCTGAGTCCAGGAAAACGAGACTAGCCTGGACAACTTGGCAAGATCTCGTCTCTACAGTAAATAAAAAAATTAGCTGGGCATGGTGACGCACACCTATAGTTCCACCTACTTTGAAGGCTGAGGCAGAAGGATTGCCTGAGTCCAGCAGCTCGAGGCTGTGGTGGCTGTGAGTGTGCCATTGCACTCCAACCTTGGTGATAGAGTGAAACTCCAACTTAAAAAAGATTTATAGCATGAAAGAGTTCAGCATAAGTTTGTCAGCCATTCTGTTTTGTTTTTTTTTTCGTGAGTTGAAGTCTCACGTTATCACCCAGCCTGGAGTGCAGTGGCTCCCCACAGCCTTGATCTGCTAAGACTCAGGCAGGCGATCCTTCCACCTCAACCTCCTGAGTAACTGGGACTACAGGCACATGTTACCATGCCTGGCTAATTTTTTTGATTTTTTTTTTTTTGTAGAGACAAGGTCTCGCCATGTTGCCCTGGCTGGTCTTGAACTCCTGGCCTCAAGTAATCCTCCTTCCTCAGCCTGGGATTACAGGTGTGAGCCACTGTACCTAGCCCATTCTGCTTGTTGTTGTAGTCCAAGTAATGTTCCCCTCAGCCAGCAACCTCATTCTAGCCCAGTGCTGTGTGGTAGAACTTTCTGTGATGATATAAATGTGTATATGTGCTACGTATAGTACAGTAGTTACTTCATTTTAATTTCACTTAATTTTAGCTAGTTTTAAATTGCCACATGTGACTAATAGGTCATCAGACAGCAACATAGGTCTAACTTCATAGTTTTTTATACATAAAACCCTTTCTTGGAATATTTTCTGGATCTCTTAAGCATAAGCTTTTAGGAGAGTTCTTGACCTATTAAGCTTGCAGAGTAGGGGAGAAAAGGCCAAACAAATTGAAAAGAAAATAATATATACAGTGAAATTACTGTACAGTATAGGTGTTAGATCAGTAATTAGGTTGATAAAGTGACTAAATGCCTGGGGATGCTCAGTGAAGGAAAACAAACTACTCCAGGGATTTTCAGTAGAAAGGGTTTAACATAGGAAATTAGGTGTTGTAAAATTACTGAGCCGACCTAACAAGTTCTCAACTGGCTCTTCAGAAATAACTTCCAGGCCAACTCAGAAATACCAGAGAATCTGTTAGGAGCTTCTGCCTCTAGATTCATGCTGAAAAGAAAAACCCTTTGTCACTGCTTTCACTTCATTCCTTCTGGATACTCAGAAAGCTGGAGATATTACTAGTTTAGAGAAGGTGGGAAGAAATATATAAAAGTAATTCTCTTTTTGTTGACAAATTCAGGGGACTTGAACAAGAGAACTAGAAGCTAAAATTGTTAAGTGAAAACTTATTTTAGGTTAAGATAGCTTCCCTGAGAAAATAAATTACAGAAACAGAGAGAAAACAAGTTGCAATAATTCTGGCTTATAAACTTTCAGTAGATTCTATTTTATATGTATACAAATAACCTTTATGTATCCATTCTTTACAGATCCAGGATGAGAAGATTGATAAAAGAAGCTAGCTGAACAGCTATAAAATGCCCAAATCTGGGTTCACAAAACCAGTTCAGAGTGAAAATTCTGACAGTGACAGCAATATGGTAGAGAAACCATATGGAAGAAAGGTATATGATTATACTAAAGCTTTGTTGACTCTTTTTGAACTGGGAAAAAGACTTCCAATTAAGTATTTTTAATGTTTTGTTATAAAACAAAAAAAATGGTGTGGATACCAGATAAATCCAAACTATTTAAGCTTTTTCAAAATAAATTGGATTCCCGGGGAATATGATTGTTTTTTATTCCCTAAGGTGAACATAGTTACTAAGATTACATAATTGCTTAAGAACTAAGTAATCATTGAGGGGGAAATCCAAGACCTCACAGTTGGCATTTCTTCCATGACTCTTAGCGGTGAAACATGCATATATGTATGCATACATATATGCATACATACATACATGCGATTCCATTTTCCAGGTCTGTAACCTTGGATACATTAGCATAACTTCTCCAACCTTTGTGTCTCTCTCTGTAATAGAGGACAGTAATGCCTAGTAGAATTGTTGTGAAAGTGAAATGGCGTAAGAGTTGTACATAATACAATGCTTCGAACAGTAAATGCTAAATAAATGTTATAGTTTTTGTTATTAGTCATTGCTAGTGACTTGTGATTGTTTTTGTATACTTATTGTTCTTTCTTACTTAATTTAGACCCTCAAAACCCTCATTTGGACTTCTGCAGTTATCAATTATCTCCTAACTGGATCCCTAGTCTTTCCTTATCTAGTTAGTTTTAGACATTGTTTTTGAATTTTTTTATGTCCATTTACTTTTTTCTTTTAAGTCTTTTTAAAAGTCATTTTCTTATTGAAGGATGTCTGAGATGTTTCTGGTTTTTAACTAGAAGAGTTGTGCAAACATCATCACAATTCAGTTTTAGAACATTTCTGTCATTGTGAAAAGATGCTTTTGCCTATTTGTGGTCAGTTCCCAGTCCCCCTCTCAACCTCCAGGCAACCCAAATCTGCTTTCAAAACCAAGAAGTGTATGTTTTCAAAAAATTTTCTTTTCACAATTGTTTTGGCTATTCAGGGTTTTTTGCATTTCCATGTAGATTTTAGGATCAACTTGTCACTTTGTGCAAAAATTTCCTGCTGGAATTTTGAGGAATTTTATTGAATCTGTACGTTGACTTTGTAGACCACTTTGAGTAGTATTGCCATCTTAATAATATCTTTCAATCCATGAACATGGGAATATCTCTTCATTTACTTAGATCTTCAGTTTCCAACATCAGTGCTTTGTGGGTTTCAGGGTTTAATGACTGTTGTTAAAATTATTTTAAAGTATTTTATTCTTTTCAGGTTCTGTTATGATAGTTTCATTTTGGGTTTTTTTAATTGCTAGTCCCAGAAATGTAATTGATTTTGATGTGGTGGTCTTGTACCTTTTGATCTAACTCGTTTATTGGATCTAAAAATCAATGATTTCTTAGGATTTTTTTACCCACAGGATCATGTCAGTTGAGTACAGAAAATTCTCCTTCTTTTCTAGTCTGGATTATTTTTTTCTTGTCTGATTACCTTTTTTTCCTTCCCCTTGTTGCACTTGTAATCTTCTCCTGTTGTTTATAGTGCTTAGTCTACTCACATTTGTTTCTCTCCCTTCTATGTTCCTTTTTTGGTTTTAAGTTTTTTTAGTGTACTAGTTTACAATCTGATTTTTTTCTAAAACTTTTTTTGAATTATCTTAGATGCTGATCTAGAGATTACAATATAATCCTGATTTATCACACTACTGCACATAAACATTGACTCAATTCCAGTAAAATATGGCCACTCTGCTTCAGTATAGCTCCATTTTCTTCCTTTCCTTTGTGTTATTTATGTCACATAGATTACATCTACATATGTTGATAACCCAAAACAATGTTGTCATTGTTAAAATTGTTTTATATAGTTTTATAGTTTAAAGACATCAAAGAAGAAAAGATAAGTCCGTGTTTATGCAGTTCTTTGTATTTCTCCACAAATTTACCAATTTTGGTATTTTTAATTTCTTCCTGTGGATTCAAGTTACTGTCTGGTGTTATTTCTTTATAGGCTATAAGAATTTTCCTTCATATTTACTATAAGGCCAGTCTTCAGCCATGAATTCTCTGTCTTCCTTGATTTAGGTAGGAATAATCTTGATTTTGCCACTTTTTAAAAACATAATTCACATAACATGCATTTAAAGTGTACAATTTAATAGTTTTTTGTATATTTACGGAGATGTACAGTTATAACCAGCATCAGTTTTAGAACATTTTTACCCCAGTATGTGCTCTTAAAAGAAGGAGAGAAAGATACAAGTAATATCTTAGTGTTACTATGCATACTGACCTGTCAGATCCCCTCAGATGGTCTTAGGGACCACAGTTTGAGAATTGCTGTACCAATATACTAAACACATTAATGAAACTCTTTTGTGTACAGTGGTAGGAGGAAGAAAAGAAGAGAAGCCATCAGTACTACTTTGGGCTTAGGAATGCCAAAGTAGAAAAGATAGTAAATCTGAATTTTCAAGGATGAGTAAGTAAGTGACAAGCAAGAAAGTGAAAATAAAGAGTTGTCTAAGCAAAAGAAGCAGCAAATGAAAACGAACATGAATCCGTTATAGTAGTGCATACTAAATCGGGATGTATTCTATGAAGGATGAAAGATAGGAGATGAGTCTGTTGCATTAGACAGGAGCCACTTCATTATGGCCTTGTGTGCTTTGAAAAGGATCTTGGAATTTACTCTGTAGTTAGTGAGCCAGAAGGGAAGTGCCATAGAAGAGACCAGTTAGACAGCTATTTTATACAATTCAAACAAGAGGCAATGTGGGCAGTGGCTTTGGGGATGGAGAGAAGTTGACAGATCTAACAAATGTTGAGTGAACTTGTGTATGGAAGCAAGTAGTCTGGGTCTACTCTGAGGTTTCTGTTTTCAGTGACTAGGTTAATGATTGGTCTGGTTCCTGAGAAGGAATTCAAGAGAAGGAACAGATTGTTTTGCATAAGTTTGGTTTGTACTTGTTGAATTGAGTTGGCCACGAGAACATTCAAGTAGAAATGTTTAGTAGGCAATTGGATTTGAGATTAAGAGCTCAAACTTAACACAGAAGTCTAGATTGGAAATAAATATATGGGATTTATACAAAAGGAAGCTATGGTTATGGAGATGTCAACCAAAGAGAGTGTATAAAGTTGGGCAAGAATGAAGGAGGCTATTCTCTGAGAAATTCACATATTTTAGGAGGAATCAAGAGATGAGAAAGGAGGCTGGGCGTGGTGGCATATGCCTGTAATCCCAACACTTTGGAGGCCAAGGTGGGAAGATTGCATAAAGCCAGGAATTCTAGACTAGTCTAGGTAACATAGTGAGACCTCATTTCTACAAGAAATTTAAAAATGCCAGTCGTGGTGGTGTACACCTGTCCCAGCTACTTGGGAGACTGAGGTGGAAGAATTGCCTTAGAGGAGGAGAGAGACAGAGAGAGGGAGAGAGGAGAGGAGAGAGAATAGCAATCAGAACAAAAAAGCAGACACTTTTCACTAACATATTTATATTGAAAATATTTCTTAGAGAAGTTAAAAGTGCTTGTTAATTACATTTATAAAATAAACAGGAAGAATAAATACAAACTATTGCATTCCTGAAGTTAATACACTTTTGGCTTATATACGAGGAGGGACCCAAAAAACCCAGGATTATTTTGTGGAGGGACAGGTCCCTTGTAGTACAAGCTTCTCACACTAGGTAAGTGTTCTAGGAACCTTTCTTCATCAGCGTATCAGCTAGCATTGTTGTAAGAGGCTGTGTTTGGCTTCAGTGAATTTTGTTTTTTGGAAATTCATTCAGTGCGTTGGCCCATTTCATGATGGGTGATTTATGACCGCACCGTTTACACCATGCTTGAGTGTTCAGCAGCTTTTGACCAAAAAAACCACATGACCCCTGTGCCCCACCCACCCTCTCTGTTCACCCGATCTTGTCCTGAACGACTTTTTTCTGTTTCCCTGGATGAAAAATATACTCAAAAGGAAACATTTTGCTGATGTGGAAGAGGTGAAACAAAAATCTACAGAAGCACTAACAGGCATCAAAATAGATTAGTTCAGAAACCGTTTTGAGCAGTAGAAAAAGCATCTCAATAGGTGTATTGCACCAAACAAGGAGTACTTTGAAGTTGACTGAAATGTAAAAATGTAAGAATAAGTATACAAATGTTAAATAAATTCTGGGTTTTGGGGGTCCTCCTTTGTAAAGGGAGTATATTTATTTTCAGTCTCTGTTTAACCATACTATATTTTTCTGAGATCACTTTTGTTTGGGTAGGGATCACAGGGTCTTCTAAGGGCAATATGTATGGCACTTACTGCCATGCTTTGAGATTTCAGAGGAACTTCACATCAAAAGCTGTTGTTAGAAGTATTCTCTACTTACATAATGAACATTCGTATACTTATCCCTGAATTGTACCCCACATCTTTAAAATAAAGCATTTAAAAAAGAAAAAAATACTCTCCTCTGTTTTCAAATGAATATTTAACTTCTTATTTTACCTTAAGAGATGAAGGACCATAATTTCCATTCCAAAGTTTCTGCATATAGATCATTTTGCTTTTACTATTTAAGTGAAGAAGTTGTGGGGTGGGATGGGAAGATGGCAGGATCACATTATTCACCTGTATTTGAAATGCAAATTTTTTATTGTCTTTTCTTAGTGAATGATTAGTTTGAAGTCAGCTTCTGAATTTTGCTGAGTTATTTTTTTGGTAACATTTTTAGAAATAAATATATAATTCTATTATGTAGAGTCCTTACTTACAGGTTAATATGACAGATTATTGCTTTTATGGCATCCTAAGTTAAATAAAATGATGTGAAACCAAAATTTATTCCCTAAATACATTTACATAGAGCATAATTTAAATAATTAACGCTCTGTAGCAATGTACTTTTTTTTTTTTTTTTTTTTTTTTTTTGGAGGAGTCTCACTCCATTGCCCAAACTGGAGTGCAGTGGCACGCTCACAGCCACCCCAGTGTTGACCTGCTGGACTTAGGCACTCCTTCCACCTCAGCCTTCCAAAT